ATCCACCGATATTGGGGTACTGTGAAGTAGTGGTGGGCTTAACACAATATGGCCATATGGTGGAACTGAATCCCCATATTTGTTTTCTTATATAGGCGTATTTAAGTAGCCTTATAAGATTATTAGTGTATATTTATGAGTGCGCTGTAACTTAATTTGTATCATGTATGAATATTGGTCACTATGGCGGCACTATTCCTGTAGAATGCATATTTTGGGTGTACCCCCAATCCTTTTTGTTTCTGCTATCCAGTTCTGCTATAGTCCCAGTATGGCTATTTAAGGTTTAGATTTTGAAATTTGTTTTTGATGTTGCATTTAAAGGAGCACTATAGGGTTAGGTACACAAACATGTATTCCTGACCCTATAGGGTTAAAACCACCATCTAGTCACCCTGGTCCCCTCATGCCTCCCTAAATATTGTAAAATCTTACTTATATTCAAGTCTGGGGCTGCATGCTTTGTCACTGTTTCCTTTAGACCTGCCCACTGTCTGCTGACATCAGCAGAAGTGGTAGCCTGATCCAATCACAATGCTTCCACCTATGATTGGCTGAGACCGAGAAGGAGGCAGATCAGGGACTGAGCCAGCACAATTCAAACACAGCCCTGGCCAATCAGCATCTCCTCATAGAGATGAATTGAATCAATGCATCTCTATGAGGAAAGCTCAGTGTCTGCGTGCAAAGAGAGGAGAAACTGAATGTTTGGATGCATTTTAGGCAGCCAGGAGCCAGGGAGCAACTCAAACAGCCATCTGAGGAGTGGCCAGTAAAGTTATCACTAGGGTGTAATGTAAACCCTGAATTTTGTCTGAAAATACAGTGCTTACAGCAAAAAGCCTGAAGGTAATGATTCTACTCACCAGAACAAATTCAATAAGCTGTAGTAGGGGTGAATTTTATAAGGCATGTTATAGGCAAACTATAAACTCATGAAGCAATGCAGCTTACCGAAGTGATGTATTTGTCTGAAATTTGTCATTTAAAAAAAAAACTAGTTTTTAACTTTGCTGGAGACTGCTCTCAGTTTGGTTATTTTGATCTGAAAATCCCTTTGTCTATTCACCACAATGCCTAGTTTAGTTTAAAAATTCAATGATCTTTCCAAGAATTGTTTATCGTTTATTTCACAGCTCTTTTAATGGCATACAAATATATTTTTTTAAAAATTGTCATAATAGCTATTATATATTGTTATTCTTTTTTTTCCGTAGGTAATGCAGTTTGGAAGAATTGATGGCAATGCATACATTTTGGACTTTCAGTATCCGTTTTCAGCCGTCCAAGCCTTTGCAGTTGCTCTGGCCAACGTGACACAACGTCTCAAATGAGTCGGTGACTGAACATGAACATTTCAGATATGATTTGGACAGGCACGAAAGCAAAGTTGTGTTAGTATAGATCATGGAAGAAGATAAGCATTTACACACGTAAACTGGAAAAGAAGTAAAATTTCCTATGTGCAGACTGATTTTTATTTTTTACATGCAATATTGCTGATGTTTTGAGCGGAGAACCAATTATTGTTATGGTGGAAGTGTGGCTTTTGGCTTCTATTGATGGTCCTGTTCTGTTGTTTGGTGAAGTCGATGTTAGAATATTACATGAAAAACTGCCTTATTTATAATAATATATTTAAAACAAAAACGTGACCTATTTGGGTCTTTGAACTTTGGTTTCTTTTTTTTTTCAGTTTGTAGGATCACGATTTTAAAAATGTGCAACTAAACTATGAGATTTTCTAATACTTGAATGCATTATTGTTATTTTTTAAGTGGACATCGAAGGCTGTACAAATAATTTTTTAAAGTAGCTTTTTATGTTATAGAACTTTTTAGATATTTTTTAAGATGTTATGTTTTCTTTAACCCTTGTTAGCTGATGACTGCATTTTATGGTCAAAATTTAGATAAAATATCTATGCCTAAAGGAAAAAAATGGCTAAGATGTTAAATTTAAATTGTTTACTTCTAAAGAGTTAATAGGGTAATTTTAAGGCACTGAAATGAGCAAAATTGGTAACACCATCTTTATAAAATAAAGGCTTAGCAAAAGAATTGAAACCTAAAATTTGTTTAGAGGCAAGAATATGCCATCTACATATTGCACATTAATTGCAATGGCTGAATTTTTCTTAAGTCTGTTTTTTGCAGAGCCTATCAAGGCTCTTCTTTAAAAGGTTGGACTTTACATGCTGCATGGGCACAAAAATCTACACTAAGATAATTTTTGATCCACATTAGATACCCGTAAACATGGTATTGTTATTTACCTCTCTACCAAAACTCTGCTTTGTTAAATTGAAAAATGGTGGTAAAGTGCTGAAAAGCCATTCTAGTGCATTTTCTGCTCATCAGATGTGCCCTTTATTTTATTTTTTATATTATGTACTATTTTGAGCTATGTAAATTATTGTTGGGAGCATGTATTTTTTCCAATTATAACTAAAATTTGAAAGGCCCATGTCTGTTATCTGATAAATAGTTTCAAATGCAGAAATGTTTTGCTTTTTGGAGGTAGTACAACTTTCAGTGCTTACAAAAGCAGCATAAAGAAATTACCTATTTGATGTTAAACCTACACTGTAAGAGGGGCCTTTTTATGAATTACTGCGTTGTGTGGGGCAGTTCCCAAAGCAGTGATCTGGCTAACTGAGGGGTATTTTCAGACATAAGTCTAAGGTGAATTAGATACATAAAATACATTTGACTGCTCAGTGATCAGTGACATCTTAGTTTGGAGGTATTTATTATCTGGATATATTACAACTTCCACGCTCATTACAAAAATGTCCATATTTTTGTATGTTATGTCAATATGGAACATACAAAACCTAAATTCATTAAAATGTTGTGCCTAATAAATTATTGTATTTTCCCCTTGCTTTATCAAAATGAAATCAAACATGCTGGCAAGATGTCTATTTTAGAAAGGTTTTCATGTATTCTGAGCTCTCCAGACTAGAATTACATACTAGTAAAACACGTTAATTAATAACAGATTTGAATGAAATCTGTTTCTTAGTTGGGGTATCAATATGACCATACATTCAATATGATCCTTGTAAAACTTGCTTCCCTAACTCAGTCAACATTCCATTTTGTGTAAGAGGGACTGTCACTTCTTAATGTGGCATTACTTATCTCCCTCAAGCCACACAAACCTCCTCCTGCCGCATGGTCTCACCGAACCACGCGGCAGGATATTTATAAATAGATGTGGGCATGATGTCATGCCCAGTTTTAAAGTGACCATCATTGCGTCCCTAATCTTTTTGGGGTCAAAGTGATAACGGGGACCTATCAGAAGATAGGTAAGCCTATTTAAGGCTTGTTTTAGCCCCCATTCATTGCCCTATTGTGGTTTCTATATAGATCCTTGCTTTGTGCTCTTAGTGATTTTCTGTATTATTATTATTATGTTATTTATATAGCGCCAACAAATTCCGCAGCACTTTATAGTGGGTGGACGAACAAACATGTAGTTGTAACCAGACAAGTTGGACACACAGGAACAGAGGGGTTGAGGGTCCTGCTCAATGAGCTTACATGCAAGAGGGAGTGGGGTAAAGTGACACAAAAGGTAGCAGTTGCAAGAGAGGAATCAGTCGGGAGCTATTAACAGTTTAATCAATACGCTTTTATGACGAAGTGGGTTTTTAATGATTTTTTGAAGGACTGGAGACTGGGTGAGCATATAACGGAGGAGGGAAGTAAGTTCCACAGGAATGATGCAGCCCTCGAGAAGTCTTGAAGGCGAGCATCAGAGGTGGGAGTACGGACAGAAAATAGACATAAGTCTTCAGCAGAGCGTAAGGCCCTAGACGGGACATACTTGTGTATTAGGGAGGATAGATAGGTGGGAGCAGCATTATGTAGAGATTTGAAAGCAAGAACTAGAATTTTAAATCGGGCCCTATATTTTACAGGAAGCCAATGTAGGGACTGATAGAAGGGTGAGGCGTGGGAGGTGCGGGCGGACAGGAAGATGAGCCTCGCCGCCTCATTCATTATGGACTGTAACCGTGCAAGTTGGGAGCACATAAGACCACTGAGAAGCAGATACAGTAGCCAAGGCGAGAAAGGACAGTGGAATGGACCCGCACCTTAGTCGCATCTGGCATTAAGTAGGATCGGATGCGCGCAATGTTTTTGAGATGGAAGCGACGGGATTTGGCGATAGACTGAACATAAGGCGTGAAAGAGAGGTCGGAGTCAAAGAGAACACCTAGGCAGCGAGCCTGTGTGGGGGAGCTGATGGTAGCACCTTTGACTTGGAGGGAGGGACACACAGAAGTAGCAACACTTGAGGGAAGAAAGACCAGAATTTCAGTTTTGGTCAAGTTGAGTTTAAGGAAGTGGGCAGCCATCCAGTTAGAAATCGCAGAGAGGCAGTCAGAGACACTAATCAAGAGGGACGGGGAGAGATCAGGAGAGGACAGGTAGATTTGCGTGTCATCCGCATATAAATGATATTGGAAGCCAAAATGAGCTAATGAGTTTACCAAGGGATAGAGAACAGTAGGGGACCAAGGACTGAACCTTGGGGACACCAACAGAGAGGGGTTGGGGAGAAGAAGCAGAGCCAGAGAAAGAAACACTGAAAGGGTGCTGGAAGGGTTAGGAGGAGCACCAGGAGAGAGCAATATCTTGTAGACCGATATTGCAGAGGATGAGAAGTAGCTGTTGATGATCAATAGTGTCAAAAGCCGCAGAAAGGTCAAGGAGAGTTAGGATAGAGTAGTGACCATGAGATTTTGCAGCAAGTAGATCATTGGATACTTTGGTCAGTGCAATTTCCACAGCGTGCTTAGCACGGAAACCAGACTGAAGCTGGTCTAGCAGAGAGTTGGACTTGAGGAAGTTTGTCAATCTTACATACACAACTCTTTCAAGGAACTTGGATGCAAAAAGCAGTAGCAAGATAAGCTAGTAGTTGGACGGGGAGTTAGGGTCAAGGTTGGACTTCTTTAGAATCGGGGTTATAGTTGCATGTTTGAAGGGCGAAATATGCCAGAGGAGAGAGAGATTTTAGTGAGAGGTAGAGAAAGAGAAGAAGACAGAGTACGGATGAGATGTGAGGGAATTGGATCTAGGGAGCAGGTGGTGGGGTGGGAGGACTGGAGCAGAGCAGAAACTTCAGCTTCGTATTGACCTTGTGATTTCTGGTATCCTGACCCAGGTTTGTTTTGACTTTGAGGATTTCTGGATCCTTGATCCTTGATTCTCACTATATTAATTTAAGTCCGGCCACTCTAAGGCTTGGCAATACGCCTTTTCGATCCACCTTTTGTGGGTTTCCTCTTTCCTGTGTGTTGGGGTACAACTCCTGTGACACTTGAATTCTATTGCAGTGTTTACTGGAGTGAAGGGGGAAAAAAGCAGCCAAGGTAAGTGGAAACAAACTTACCTCTACTGCACTTCCTTTTTCTGTATGACAGTATTGTCTGTCCCATGATGTGAGCTCAGGCGTCTGTGGAAAAACTCTGTACGAAAATATGCACCCTCTGTGTTTTCTTCAACAGTGCATCAAGCATGCATGTTCTGCATTTTCTCCAGCAGTACCTTACGATAGCATGCATGCTCTTGTGATCTCCAGCAGTGCATGTAAATTTAAAAATAATCACTGAAGGATTTTGTTAGTATTCAAGTGTTGAATGAATTAAACCATCAAGTTAAATGGAATGGAAAATAACAAAAAAAGCTACAATTAAATAATTAAAACCAGTCCAAAAAAAAAAAAAAACATGCCTGCTTTTAAGTGGAATGGCTTCACACATTTCTTTTTTTTTTTACTTTTTATTGTTATTGACTTAAGCTTTAGATAAAAAAATATTGACCCATACCTGCACTTATCTGGTAATGCTTACACTTGCTGTTTCTGTTAAATATTTAATTATGAAAAATATTAGTTTTTCTTAGTTCCATTTGACTCCAAAGTTCTTATTGAGCATTTTGTGTATTTATAAAACTCATCGCAAGAAATCATAATATGGCATTTACTAGTAATAATACTATGTTACTAGTTTAGTATATTACTAGTTTCCTATCACAACCAACTCTGTGTTTATTAATCATGAAAATATTAGGATTTTCTTAAACGTAAACCGATTGATTGAAGGGGAGATAATTCAAATATGGCTAAAACTACTAGGATCTTTAAATATATATATATATATATATATATATATATATATATATATACAAAAAATGAATAAGCAAGGCACTCCTCCTAAAATTCTTCTTGTAGTGAGTCAAATGCCTGGGTGCAATCCCGCGTCCCAATATACATAAATCAATAAGGGGAGCACACCAGGACTTCTCAGCTACAGGACCCGGAAGTGAGAAGACCACGTGAGCGGTGCGTATCGGGCCGGTCGCCCGATCTTCTGTCTGCAGTATAGTCACTTAGGTTGCTTAGAAACCCAGTCACATGATACGCACCGCTCACGTGGTCTTCTCACTTCCGGGTCCTGTAGCTGATCGGGGTCTCGATTATCTGATTGGTAAGCGTTATTTTATTTGTATGTATATATTGTTCACTATAACAACACTTCACTGTGATCTTGATAAAGACCCCAGCAGGGTCGAAACGTTGATTCTCTTTGCACAGAATTTGTACCATGCTTTGGATACAGTAAATACTTTTTGCACTATATTGAAGTCCTGGTGTGCTCCCCTTATTGATTTATGTATATATGTATATATATATATATATATATTGCTACTAATCATTTTGAATTATGTATCATTATACATTCTTATTCATGCAAACACTGTTTTCTCTAAGTTTGGTATTACAGATGTTTGAAAAATACATTTCTTTTTACTGTATATTCCAACATCCTAAGGATCTAATGTACTAAGGCTTGGCTAGCCTTAGTACATTAGATCCTTAGGATGTTGGAATATACAGTAAAAAGAAATGTATTTTTCACTACCTTATGGGAAATATACCACAATACCACCAGGTATGATCTCCTGGAGTTTTATGAGGGACATTTCATTAGTTAGGAAAATAGCCCTTTTTGCTGGTGTTAAATATACATTATTATTATTGCCATTTATATAGCGTCAACAGATTCCGTAGCGCTTTACAATATTATGAGAAGGGGATTTAACTATAAATTGGACAATTACAAATAAACTTATGGGAACAATAGGTTGAAGAGGATCCTGCTCAATTGAGCTTACATTCTATAGGAGGTGGGGTGTAAAACACACTAGGACAGGAATTTGCAAATAAGGTGGGCTGCCCTTTAGGAGAGAGCAAGAGACGGGTATGTGAGGTAGAGGTTACTCTGGGAGGCCATAAGCTTTCCTTAAGAGATGGGTTTTAAGGCACTTCTTAGAAGATGCAAGACTAGGGGAGAGTCTGATGAAGGTAGGCAGGCTATTCCATAGGAAAGGAGCCGCCCACAAGAAGTCTTGCAAGCGTGAGTTGGCCGGACAATGGACAGGAGATGGTCACGGGAAGAGCGGAGAGACCGAGAAGGGGCATACCTATGGATCTGTGAGGAGATATAAGAGAGGCTAGAGTTGTTCAGTGCTTTATAGGTGTGAATTAGTACCTTGAATTGACTCCTATAGCATACAGGAAGCCAGTGTAAGGACTGGCAGAGGGGTGAGGTGTGAGAGAAACGACTAGAGTTGAAAATCAGTCTGGCAGCAGCGTTCATTACGGACTGTAGTGGTGCAGTATGCCATTTGGGAAGACCAATCAGGAGAGGGTTACAATAATCCATGCGGGAAATTACTAGAGCATGGACAAGCTCCTTGGTAGTATCTGGTGCAAGAAAGGGGCAGATGCAGGCTATGTTTTTAAGATGGAATCTACAGGATTTGGCAACATGCTGGATGTGAGGCTCAAAGGTGAGGCCAGAATCAAGTATGACGCCAAGACAGCGCGCTTGCAAGGATGGACTGATGTGGGTACCACAAACTTGAAGGGAGAGCGAAAGAGGAGTATCAGTATTAGGAGGAGGAAAGACAAGGAGCTCAGTTTTAGAGAGATTGAGTTTCAGAAAGCAGGAAGACATCCAGTCAGAGATGGAAGAAAGGCAAGCAGTGACACGTTGCAGGACGGCAGGGGAGAGGTCCGGGGAGGAGAGATATAACTGGGTGTCATCAGCGTACAGGTGGTAGTGGAATCCAAAAGAGGCAATAAGTTTGCCAAGAGAGGCAGTATAAAGAGAAAATAAAAGGGGACCAAGGACAGAGCCTTGGGGGACTCCAACCGAGACAGGACGAGGGGAGGAGGTATCATTAGAAAAAAAGACACTGAATGAGCGTTGGGAGAGATAAGAGGAAAACCACGAGATGACAGAGTCACAGAGACCAAGCGATTGAAGAGTTTGAAGAAGGAGAGCATGATCAACGGTGTCAAAGGCCGCTGAGAGGTTAAGAAGCTTTGAGGAAAATGGGAGCAGGGATATGGGACGATAGTTAGAGGGGGTGGACGGGCCAAGGGATGTTTTTTTTAGTATAGGTACTACAGTGGCATGTTTAAGGTCAGCAGGGACAATGTCAGAAGAGAGAGAGCAGTTGAAGATGTGCATTAAGGAAGGCACGAGACAAGTGGAGAGAGATCTAATAAGGTGAGATGGGACAGGATCGAGTGGGCAAGTGGTGGCGCGAGAGGAACAGAGAAGAGCAGCCAGCTCTTGGTCAGTAGCACGGGAGAATGTCCGAAGGGTAGGAAAGGCATGATCTATGTGTGGTTGAGAAACAGAATGGCAAAGAGGGGAGAATTCTTTCCTTAGCTGTTCAATCTTGTCAGTAAAGTAACATGCAAAGTTATCAGCAGTAAGGTTAGTTTGGGGGGTGGCCACAGCAGGGCGAAGAGTATTAAAGGTGTCAAAGAGACACCTGGGAATGCGGGAGCATGAACTAATGAGAGAGGAAAAGTAGGACTGTTTGGCAAGGGCAAGGGCTGCGCTGTATGAACACAATATGAATCTATAATGGAGAAAGTCTGACTGGGTGCGAGACTTCCTCCTGGAGTGTTCAGCACAACGGGAGCATCTTTGCAGGTAGCGTGTTGATTTAATATGCCATTTAGGTGCTTGTTTGGAGCGGTGCTGCAGCGTTCAAGGCAGAGGTGAGGGTAGTGTTATATGCGGACAGTGAAGGACAGGAGAGGGAAGGGATGGACAGCAGTCGTGAATCAATATCAGCTGACAACTGCTGGAGATCAAGAGAATTAAGGTCCCTCCTGAGTTGAGGGAGGCTGAGGTTGTTGGGTGAGGGGGTACACGAGAGCAAATGATAAGAGGTGGTGATCAGAGAGAGGAAATGGAGTGTTGCAGATATTAGATACTGTACATGCATAAGTGAAGATTAGGTCAAGGGTATTGCCAGCTACATGGGTGGGAGAATTAGCCCACTGTGATAGCCTGACGGAGGAAGTAATTGAAAGTAGTTTAGAGGCTGCAGAGGTCAAGGTGGGTTAATAGGAATATTGAAGTCCCTGAGAATTAGGGATGGAATGTTAGAAGAGAGGAAATAGGGTAGCCAGGCAGCAAAGTGGTCAAGGAAGAGAACAGGGGAACCAGGGGGACGATAAATAACAGCAATGTTAGCAGAGAAGGGTTTGAAAAGGCGAATTGAATGTATTTCAAATGATGGGAAAGAGAGGGAAGAGGTGGGTAGAGGTTTAAAGGAGCAGTGAGGGGAGAGGAGAAACCCTACACCACCACCTTTACATTTAGAGTTTCTTGGGTTGTGGGTAAGTTGAAGACCACCGAAGGACAAAGATGCAGGGGTAGCAGTGTCAGAGGGGGAGAGCCAGGTCTCTGTTAAAGCTAGTAAATCTATTGAATGAGAGATGAAGTCATGAACAGCAGTGAATTTAGTAATATTGCAAACAGAGTGTGCGTTCCAGAGGGCAGTATTGAAGGAGGATTTAGAGGAACATGACATGGGTATGAGATTAGTGTGGATCCTTGGGTTAGTATGTGGTGAGTTTGCCGAAATGGGACCGGGGTTTGGAGAGACATCACCAGCTGCTAGGAGCAAAAGGATAGAAAGGACATGAAGGTGGGCGTAGGATTTGAAAGTTTTGTAGGAGGGTATGTATGTAGAGGATTTGGGAGGAGTTGGTGGAGATAGGCTGGAACGGTATGTGTAGAGTGCATGGGATAAATAGAGAGGGGAGGGGAGTAAGTTGGAAGTAATGACGATGGTGTTGCCAGGGACAGGTGAGCGAAAGGATAGGGATATTTTAGTAATGAGAGAAGTTTTTTTTTTGTAAATCTTTTTATTGAGATAGGTCACTACATGGAAAGCAGTGAATTGGTAAACAATGTGAAACTCGCAGGTTTCTATAGTATATTGGTACATAAAATATAATACAATGAGATATGCAAATCTCCACATAACTTCCCCTAGAGAGACTCGTAGGTCCTCATGCAAGGTGAGTATGCTGTCAACATTTTAAAAGCAATATAATTATACAACGAGGGGAAACAGTGGTATCATATAAAATGGAACGGCTGTAACAAACAGGTTGCTTCCCTTAGCCAATATGTGCATAAAGGGTAAACGGGAGTTGCGTCGGGAGAGGTCGTTCTCA